TTCCCGATATCAATCCGTTGGATTATTTTGTATAGGGCGTCGTCCAACGGGATACCAATAGAACCCCTCACACCACACTTAAGTCGCTAAAAGCTAAAATCAAGGCAGTGATGACATCTATGGATCGAAACATTTTAAAACGTGCATACTGCAGTTTCCGGAAGCGTCTAACTACAGTCGTCGAAAGGGAAGGCAATTTTTTTGAATAAATTTACTTCCAACTTCCATATGTTGCGAAAGAAAATAAATCGCACAAAATTCATTGCTAGAATAACTAACTGGTGTATTTTTTTTTTCAAATATGCCATTTACTGCAAAAATTCGTCACGCATTAGATGAACTTAGAGTTATTTGTTTTTCATTAGGAAAATCGGCTGGAGTAGATAATGTTGATGCTAGAGTTATTCAAGATTGCTTTCATGTCATTGGCCACATCTTTCTGGACCTTATTAATGAATCATTGCAGAATGGACATGTGCCACAAATTTGGAAGGAATCCTTAGTGATTCGTATTCAAAAAGTTGCTGGAACGATTAAAGCCGAAGAGTTTCGTCCCATCAACATGTTGCACACATTAGAGAAAATCTTAGAACTTGTTGTTAAAGGCCAGCTGTAGGAGTATTTGAATAGCAACTCTTTGTTGATACCAGAACAATCGGGATATCGGGAAGGTCATTCTTGTGAAACTGCATTGAATTTGGTGTTAGAAAAGTGGAAAGACAACTTGGAGCGTAAAGATACGATTGTTGCTGTTTTTTTGGATCTGAAACGTGCTTTTGAAACAATTTCTAGGCCCTTACTGTTAAGTACAATCAAGCGCTTTGGAATTACGAGTACTGCATATAAATGTTTTGAAAGCTATTTGTCTGACAGAACTCAACGGACTGTTTTTAATGATTCTGTTTCCAGTCCCGTAGGGAACAACCTTGGAGTGCCCCAGGGAAGTGTATTAGGGCCCCTTTTATTTATTATGTATATTAATGACTTGCGACGTGTTTTACGGTATTGCGACATTAACCTTTTTGCAGATGATACTGTGTTGTTATTCATTGCAGCTAAGGATTTAGAAGTTGCCATCTCACACTTGAATGAAGATTTGCAGTACCTAAGTAGATGGTTGAAGTGTAAGCAGTTAAAATTGAATACAAGTAAAACTAAATTTATGGTAATTTCGCGGATTCGCTTAGATGAGAACGTCTCTGTTGTAATTGATGATGAGACTATTGATCGCGTTCAGGAGATTAAATATCTTGGCGTGATTATTGATGACAAACTTAAGTTCAACTCTCACATTGACAATGTCATCAAGAAAATTGCCAAGAAGTATGGAATTCTATGTCGATTGAAAAACGATTTAACTATTGCCAGTAAAATACAGCTATACAAATCAATCATCTCTCCTCATCTAGACTTTTGCCCATCCATTTTATTTCTGTCCAATGCAACACAAATATCGAGATTACAGCGCTTGCAGAATAAAATAATGCGTTTGATTTTGAGATGTAATAGATTCACTTCCTCAACTTTGATGTTAGACGTCTTACAATGGTTGTCGGTGAAGCAAAGAATTGTATATTTGACTATGGTGTTCATTTTTAAAGTATTTAACGGTTTGCTGCCTCGATATTTGTGTGATCGAATTGAAAGAGGAAGTGACTATCATAGATATAATACTAGAAACGCGGATGAACTAAGAACACCACATTTCTTGACTTGTGCTTCACAGAATTCATTATTTTTTAAAGGAATAAATGTTTTCAATTCGATGCCTAGACACATTAAACGTTCAACAACATTAGCAGAATTTAAGAGACATTGCATTTCACGCATTAAAACTGTCTTTTGAACGGTTATCCAGTGATTTTTTTTATGAATTGACAAATTATGTATCTTGACGAAGTTATTTTTAACAGATTATTTTGTATGGATAGCTGTCATAACGTCTTTTTAATAATTATTGTAGCACTGCAAAAACTATTTTGTTCGCCACGATGGTGATGATGGATTTTTGATATTTGATTTAATAGTAGTAGTAAAAAAAATAGTAGTCTACAAAGGTTTGAGCCTCACGCGCGTATTACGGATATAGAGGACTGAATTTAACATTCGATAAAAAAAATGCAATTTTGAAGCTTATTTGGAAGATACCTTGAGTTAGTAGTAAGTTTTCTGGCAAATGTTGGGGGTTCGTGAGCATTCCTGACATTGCTGAAAATTATGATAACATCAGCTTGCGGGGTTACTAGTGTAATAGGATGCTTTGTTGATTGTTCATTAACTCTTGATTGCTTGTAATACTTATGAATATTCTAGGTGGACAAAAAGGCGAACTAAGAGGTGGACACCTGAGTTTTTCAACATTTATATCGCTGTGAAGCAACTGTAAACTCTAGAGGGAATTTATATCTGTAACTGAAACCAGTTCGATTTTGTTTGCCAACCTGGTTAAAATGTCATATTTAATTATCTTAAAGATAAATCGTCCAGCTCAAACCTTTGTAGGGGTAAGAGGTGGGACCATCATCATCATGTCGTTGGGTGAGAAGTACAACAGTTTACATGCGAGCGTATGAAAACTACTTCAAGCTCCATTTAATTAATATTGTTGTATGGAAATGTACAATTAATTGCGTTGTTTGGTTTTCAGTGGATCTTTTCTTTTTTATTAGTTGAAGAAAACATAGAAAATTGCTGCTCATAGAGCTCGATCGGAACAATCCGGAAAAAAAAATAATATCCTCTGTAAAATATGGCGTATATGAAGGGATTGTTATGTTTTCGAATACCATAACATACTAGTTGACTTCATCCGGAGACTTAATTTCATTTGGCGGGCTTGAATTATAGTCAGTCATCAGTTGATTTGTTGCGATACATAGAGCTCAGTGACATAATGTTGACCGTTTTTGTTTCCTAGCCCAGGCTCCTATAATTACTGAGTTTCTTTTTCTTTAAACACAACCAAAGGTTTATTGAATCGATTACTAAAACGAATCCTTACTATCCCTACCTGTGGTTATCGGGAAAGTGCAGAGTTTATTTTGATTTCCAATAAAGCGAGTATTACGCTGCAAATTCCCTTACAGGGAAATTATACGACTATTTCTTCTAACAACAAGCGAAAATAGCCAACATAAGTCCCTACCCCCCTAGGGTGGGGCTTATTTTGAAAAATCGTTCGGAGTCATGTTTTCCCATGTAGAAAACGATTATTGGGACTAATTAAGGAACATACAAAAAATAGTTCTTTTCGTTGACATTTAGAGGTGGCACATTTTATAATAGTGATTTGTTCCAAAAAGTTTAACCGTTTGGTTAAAAATCAACCCAAACAATGCATAAGGTCCTAGCTACATTGATCGATTATCTTAATGCTTTTCTCTTAGGATCGCCACGGCCATGTAAAATCGTAGCAAATATTGTATACAAAAGCCCATCTTTGTTAACAACATTGTTTACAAGTTGCTCGGTTGCATGAAATGAAATACAAGTTTACGTGAATCAATGTTTACATTACAATTAAAATTCAGAATTTTTACCTGTGTAGGTCTTACAAAAACTTCACTCAATAGTGATGTTCCGTATCATTTGAAGAGTTCTGAGACCTCAAGATGGGTCTTACATGGATCCTCATTGAATTGTGATGTTCGGCATCATTTGAAAAATTCTGAGATCTCTTCAGGTGCATATTTGCAGCAATCAAAATAGGTCTTCTTAGTGAGAAAAACAAGCGATGATAATGATATTTTACCATGCATCGGAACCCTGGTCCGAACCTTTTCTTGCATCCAATCTCAACACCGAGGTTCATAACCATCACCAAGAAGATCTTCGGGCCAGAGTTCAATGTGGCAGGTCTTACATCACGTCGTGTACCACGAAAAGCTGATCAACCCACGTTAAATGTTAGGAGAATTGATTTTTTTTAAATATACTCACCAAAAAAATATGAATTTTAATGGTGATGTAAATATCCATGCATGCTAAAATTGAAGCATGTTAACTTTCTTTTCACGTAAACTAGCAACTTGCCAGAAATATTGCTTACAAAGATGGATGGTTGCATACAATATTTAGAATATTTCATTAAATGATTCATAAATTTACCCTAATTAATGACCCTAATTCGGGATAATAAAAATTTACCAAAGTTCGGAATAGTTCAGAAAATGTCACCGTTGGGTGAATGAATCTATTCCACAACGAGGTTGCCAACATAATCATTACAATGTTTTATAGCTTCTGAGAGGTATCAGACAGCAGAAAGTGTTATTATTTCCTGTAATAAAGTGGATCTAACTACTAAAGGCAACCTAACTTACCGAGGGGCATACGACTGAGGTTTCAAAACACTGCCAACTATCGTCGTATTTCCCCTCGGGCGAGGTTCATGGTTGTTTTACGCAGCGCAGTGTTGACACTAGCTCATCATCACAAAAAAAAAGTTTCGCTAAAATCAACAGCACTGTAGTGAAGAGAAATTACGGGCGTTGAGAGGAAGTAGTTCCTTTCTCTTGACGCACACATTGTATAATTATGAGGTACAGTGATGATCAATGAAAAACCGCTTAGAAGATGATTCGACTGTGGGAATTCCCTGCGTAACAAACAAATTTAATTTAATCCCATAGCTGGAAAGCAATACTAGAAATCACGTATTGCCCGACTAAGCGTCCGAAAATAAAATATAAAACTCCCGATTACTATCAGGGTATGCAAATACCTCGTGCAAATGCCTACACACACTCAACTCGCTCACGCTTCGATGCTCGACGAGTGCGGAAATTTGCATTTGCACGTCCGAACCAATCGAATGCCAAGAGATATCTACTGTTCCCGGATGGGGCGCTCCAACTAAGCTTCGGCGAAGGGAGGCGCTTAGAAATTCCACACGATCAAGTGCTCGGTCAACTAGATAAGCGCAGAATCGTGTGCTTTCCTCGCTTGGCCGACTTGCGGTAAACTGTAACACTTGACTAGCCCCTCTACACTACTTATAGACGAGAGTGCGCTGCCGACGACTCCGCCACCGCCACCGCCGCGGACCGGCATCACTAACGGGATTCTACATCAAACGTTGGAGTGTGCGGTTTCGTGAGTGTGATGAAGTCATACCTTACAGATGTTTTACTGCGCCGACACCAACCGACCAGTGCGGTTTAGCTAAATACATTCACTCGTGTCCTACAAAATTAAAAACATGTGTAGGAATGTAATGATGGTCGAGGATGAATCGACGTTTTTGGGCAGTTGATTTATAGGAAAAGTAGCTGCACTTCTTATCGAGCAGTATAGAATGGAAAGTCTATCCAAATAATCGTTCAACTAGATAAATATAACCTCAAAACATACAATAGCATTACCCAATTCCGTTCAAGATAAATATACGAGATTTGAGCTAAACATAAACACTCTCATTAACTTAATGTCCCTTTGTTGTGTTCCATCCCGTCGTCATCAATCCGCTTAGTAGAAAGGGCAACATTTCCGTGTAAGTTCCTAGATCTCACCGCGGCGACGACGTCTTCGTTAAGTCGAACATTGTTGCTACACTAATAGTGCCACTTACAGAGTGTAATTTGGTCACCTTTCTTCTCTCGTGCGTTCCTCGACCTTTTCTCCATCTACGGTAAAACTGGACTGTAGGAAATGGAATAACTTCACCCCCTCCGGGTGCCCCACAAGCACCACCGCTATTTTCCCACTAGGAAAACAATCCCAACCAAGTGTAAGCGAATGAGCGACTTGGGCCACTAACATAACAACAAGCGACGAACCGGAAAACACCTCGAACCTTCTTCGACCGTGGTAAATCTCCACTCAGGAAAAAACAAAACTTTCCTCGAACTCTTTAAGGTACATGCAGCGGCTTTGAGTGGCATTATTTTGTTCGACCGACGGCTGATTTCAAGTCGCGAGCGAGCAGCAAGTCGAAAGAGGAAAAGCAACAATTAAAGTCAAAAAAGTTCGCCTTAATTTTTGTGTGAGTTAAATGTATGCTACCCTCTTCTCTGGTCCAAATTAAGTGGTGGAAGCAAAAGAAATCGGTTCACTTCCTGCGAGTACTTGTTGTGCTAAAAAAAATGGGAAACTGTGCAGTTTCTAACATTTAAGATCGGTTTCTTGTGAAAGCATCCTTCAACATCCTTCCTACAGGGACAAATAAATTCGAATTTCCGATGTTGCAAAGATCACAACAGACAACAGAGAGCATACCATGCCTAACATCATGCCAGATATGGACAATCACGGATGGTCTTTGCGCCCGTCCACTGTCGACAGCCACACAATGTTCATTAATTATTTTGTTCAAAATGCTAACAACGGAAGGTTAACGAGGTGCCAAATGGCTTAACTTTGGCAGTCAGTCATTGACTGGTTCGCCGTCGTCATTCGGCTCGATGTGAAACACGACGGACGTGATCGATTAGCATCCATCGATCGATTGTTGGTGCAATTGGTAGTTTTAAAATCGGCAAAGTAGTCGGGACCTCAAAGTGTGGTTATTGCAAACGTCCCTCTTCTAGAAGTAAAAGGTCAGACGTGTCAAATTCCCGTTTGGTGGTTGAGGTTAAGCGGGTATAGTTATGTTTTAGGAAATTTCAGTATAAGCAATTGAGTAGCTAATTAGTGAACTCCTGGCGATGCAAGATTATGGACAATAGGTTATAAATGAACGCTTACATTACATCGTAGCGTAATGCTTCAAATGCCGGACGGTTCATTGATTCGGAAATTTCATTTTTAATTAATCAATACGTGTAGTTTTCAACATACATAACATGTGTGATGATTCTAAACGATGACTTAATGATGTTAAAATGGACGTGCTATTTTGATCATGGTAGGCATTGATAATCAACTTTTAAAAGTGTTCGGATTTTGATGCTTTACGGTATCACTTGGTCGGCCCCTCTTATCTTGACGGATAAGGGCAACTTACCAATAAGGGCTACTTGTAGATGGCGCTTCAGTTGCTTTGTTGTGGTTTTGTGATTCAAACACACATAAACTGCTGTAACTTTTTGACTATTATATCAAATGACTTGAAATTTTCAGTGGGTATTTTGTTTAGTCCATAATGTATACATGTAATTTTAATGAAAGTCTGAGAGGTACTTTATCTCGAGTAATAGGTATGAGAACAACATGCAGCCTAAACAATATTGTACAGCCTCAGTGGAAAGAAGAAAGGAAATTCTTTTCTCATTGTTACTATTGACTCGTGGAATCAAATCATTTTTTTGTTTTTCAAATATTATGTTTCAAAATTTCGGCTCATATTGTCTAAAAATCTAAACCCTTAAAAAAATGAAAAATCAATTAATTTACACAAACCAAAGACAGTATAATCTATCACACGTTAAAGATTCATAATTCGTTAATAAATTGGACAAGGAATTTTTAAAACACCATTTAGTTTTCTTGATTAAAACCCAAGTGGCATTTGAACCATAACATATGTTTTGCTTGTTCAGAACTCTCTAAAGAATCTTCTCTTGAAATTTAAGGTTATTTGGTATAATTTTTAAGGTTATTTGGTAAGATTTTTATAAGTGTGACATTTTTATCGAATACACCATTTAATCCAGATAATTTGTGAGCTACGAAACAGTTCGGTAAAAGTTGTTCAGTTAACCCCATTTAATAATTAAAAAAAAAATGTCGATTTTATTGATTTCTTACGGATAACGGTCACTTGAAATTGTACCGATTTTTCAGCTGTACAAAAACCCGGTAAAATTTTAACAACTTCGATGATCTCAATTCAGTGTGTAATTGGTCTACTGGTTGTTATGTGTTGTGCTTTATATAATGTTAAGAGTTCAGTCTGTTTAACCTTATTCTTATTGATTATCTCCAAAATTCACTTAAGTAAGCCTCCGTAATTCTGGATTCCCGTGAAAAAATTCTTGGAATATTCCTTATAATTCTGTTGACACATTCTTCAGAATAAGCTTGAAGCACCCTCTCACCCGTATGCTTTGAATTTTACTGAAACCTATTAAGTTCTGTGGGGTATTTTATCTCGCGTAGTTATGATAACATGCTGTCTAAACAATATTGTATAGTCTCAAATCTGAAATCAGCGGCGATGCAAGGAAATTCTTTCGTTATTTGCTATTTCTTTTTTATGGCTTTCTCAGTCTAGGATAATCCAATCGGCCAATTATGTGGCAGGGAAATGCATAACTGACCGTTTGGATTACCCTAGACTGAGAACGTAATAAAAAATGAAAGCTCCCTACATACCAGTCGAACATCCTATTAAATTGTTACTATTGACTCATGAAACCAAATCATTTTTTTGTCAGATATTATATTTCTAAATATTGTGCAGTTAGTCAGAAATTACACTTTAAAATTCCGGCTCATTTTGTCTAAAAAAAACTAGCAGATGCGTAGAAATATTTCTAATCGATTGGTGATAAAATTATTGAAATTGGTCCAGGGGCAGCTGAGTTATTAACGTTCAATATCTTTCATAATGTTGTTACATGTTCCATTTTCGGTTTTCACAAAGTTTACCCCCATATAGAAATCACAGACGTAGTCCTACGTCAAAAAAAAATCAAATAAGTGATGCCTTTTATTGCTCTAAATTTACAATTTTGTGGAAGTGATAAAATGTACAACTTTTAACTGTTCCTCAAAATCCGCTCCAAATCAACATTTTTGCTGGTGCTGTGTCCTGTCAAATGTACACATTTTACTTAATTTTGGGTCGCTAAATCTGAATCTGGAATCAGATTATGTTACGGGGAGACTCCTGTTGAAATATCTATGTATATCTAATAGAGTTGGTCATCGTTATATGGAAAAAAAAACGCAAAGTTTACCTCACCAATCGAGAACAACTCTTTTTTGGTTCCATTTGGAGTCCCAAACAACTGTGCAAAGTTTGGGGACGATTGGTTGTAACTCGGCTTTCCGCATTGCGTTTAAAATTAGTATGGAAATTATTTAGTATGGAAAAACCAAATTTTTATCCCTAGAGACCACAAATATAGTCCAGGAATTGCCTAACAACTTTGCTAAAGGAAGTACGAAGCTATAATGTACCTAAAAAAAGGTATAAATATTCAAATATTTATGGTTTGAATTAAACACCAAAAATCCCTTTTTCTGCCAACACTGCCGGTGTACCAATGGGAGTCAGATTCCAAACTGAAATATTTTCGGAGTTTCTTATCTTATCGATTTGGTATGCTCAGGATGAATTCTTCAAAAGCATTTGCTCAATCTCATAAGCGTAGTTAGAGAGCGAGAGGGGGGGGGGGTATATAAGTAGTTTTAAAACGAAAATTGTTGTAGTTTAAATATTTAATATCCACTTGTCCGTTCATTTGTTAGTGAGGAGATTTTGTTTGAATTACACTAGTTTACAAAACAACATAAAAAGTGTGAACTTTAGTGGTTGACCAACGTTTCTAATGCAAAATCCTACGCTGAATTCAATGCCGTGGTCAGAAAAAATTAAAGTAGAGCCATTTTTGAGATATACAAAAATTTTGATTTTTTGAATTTTGGACAAAAGTACGATTACTAAAATGTCAATATCTTTAGAACTAGAGCACCAATTTTAAATCTTTTTTTATGAAAGTGAAGCTAAATAAATTTGCTATCGTTCACTAGAATATTATGTCTTAATTAAAAATTTAATTTTCTTTCTTTTTTTTATATAATGCGTTTATTTTTCCAGGCTCATTTGCCGTAGCTTTGCGGAGCCGATATTCATTGTTAAGATTACAAAGTTTCTTAAAACTAACGTTAGTAGAGCGGGGGCCGATTACTCGCGGCTATCTCGAGGTTAGGGGTAACAAATTTTAACAAATGGATGGCAGGGTAGGGATTGAGAACACAAGGTTTGGAGATCAATGTGCTCTTGATCTCGAACTAAGCGACCAACTGATGAAAAAGACAAACATGGGGGTACACCGATGGTCAGCTAACAACTTGGGGGAACACAAGATGACACTAACTACTAAATCCTCAGATCGATCCGTTTTAAAAACACATAAATTAAATTAAAATATTCGAGATCTCGGCTCGCCAAGATGTCTCTAACGGACCGCAAAGGTTGTTTTCCTCGG